TCGCTTCTTCCTCTGTGTCACAGTTTCGGGAATATCCAGATCATTGCACAGGGCCTTGGTCTTGTCATAGACCTCATGTGCTTTCTCGTCACTTCGGTAACTTTTCAGTGTGTTCTCAACTGCTGTTTTGTAATTTACTGCCTGCACCAAGTCAAGTGTTTCTTTCTGCAGGTATTTGTGCAGGCCCTGAGTGGTTGAGAGCAGTGTCTGGAACAGGACAAGCATGTATATGGTACTGAATTTGCAAAGCTTGCTTTCCAGTCCCTTTGCCAGAGGGGCTGGAAGGCTCCCTAAAGTCTGGATCAAAGCAGGGAGGTTTTTTAGGATTGCATTCACCGACTCAATTTGACATGCCCAGCGAGTGTGTGACAGCTGAACAAGTTGTTTGTTCCCTACCTCTAGCTGTTTCTGAAATGTTTCCAATCTCTGATGGTGGACAAGAGATGTGGAGAAGAAAGAGTAGAGACACTCCAGGAGATCAAAGAAGTCACATGCCTCTGGGATGGCTTTGCAAGTGGCGCAAAGGACAAGATTGAGTTCATGGGCATAGCAGTGAACATAAAGTGCTTCTGGATGCTTCTCTCTAAACCGAGCTTGTACACCTCTCACTTTTCCACTCATAACAGCAGCACCATCATAACTCTGGGCAACACATTTAAGATGTCCTATTCCATGTTTGTCAAGTAGCTGCTCTATTGTGTCAGTGATGGTTTTAGCATCAAATGCTGCAAGCTGAGAAAGTCCAAGGAACCTTTCTTTCACTGAGCCTTGTGGACTTACATATCGCACACACAATGCAAGCTGCTCTGTGTGATTATCTCTTGCTTCATCCACCATTACCGAGTACATTTTTGCCTCTTTGATCTCAGATATTATCCTTGCCATTATAACGTTGGCGGTGCTTTCAATCATCTCATTCTGTGATGAGGGTGAGAGGTAGGTCACACATGAAGGTGGCTTATAGGTTTGCAGAAAAGGATCAAAGTTTTCAAGAAGCTTCATGCATTCCATAAAATTACCCATATTATCACTCTCTGCTGCTTCGTTGTGCCCTCTGAAAGCAATCCCTTGCTTCCCAAGAAAGGCTGTCACTGCTGCTATGCGTTTCAGATACTCCCTACGTTCCTGAATCTCACTGACATTTGCAGCATGTAGCTGCTGTGTGATGTCCCTGTGGACCTGGGTGGCTTTAAAGCTCTTCCAGAGAATAATTAAGGCCTTGTGTACGTTTGACTTTTCATGTTCTCGAAAAGAATCCAATGAACGCTTCCAGTTTGTGTATCCTGAGGTGGTGAGGGTGTCCCTTTGATCCCTTGACTGCTTTGGTTTGCCATATATTCTACAACTAAAGCAGAACGCTGCATTGGCAGTTGTAGAATATTCAAGCCATTTAAAAGCAACTTGGTTGAAATGATCTTTTTTGCTGGCCAAACATGCCGGATGGAAAGCAGTGATGTCTCACTTGCCTTGGCCCTGTATCTGCAGTCCCTAAATCAGTTCCCCAGTTACCCATTGACTCTTGTCTGTTCTGATGTTCCTGTTCATTGTTGTTCTTATCTGTTGTATCTCCTTCTTGTGTGTCCCTTTCTCCTGTTCTCATTTCTTCATCCTCTACTCTGTTTGGCTCATCTGTGATGACTGTGTAGGTAAAGACAAACAAGTATTTTAAGTCAATCAGTTTCCAGCTCTGTCAAATAAATGAATTTCAAGATACACAAATGTGTCTTCATTAAAATGAGTGTCACCACACTGTCACAAAATGTAATACTAACCAATTGAAAATAGTTAAATTTACATTGGAAACCTCTTGTAAATATCACTAAGAGTAGTTATCTGCCAATAGGACAGAATCATTCCTATACAAATGTAGTTTGAGTAATTCACATCCATATATTTCAGTGCTACATTGATGCTTAGCTAAGCTAACTATGAAACACTTTAACTGACAGGACTCAGGAATCAGGATCAACTGTACTACTGTAAAGTAGCTTATAGCTTCATGTCGAACACTGACAGTAAGTCAACATTTCCCAGAGAGCTTTCTTTGAAATCACCAGGTAACGCTAAAAAACACAACATTTAGATTGTATGACAAAGTGTTTATTTAATCTGGCTAGCTATAGCTACTTGCTAACGGTTTAGTTTACCCGCGCGATTCAAAGTAACGTCAACGTAGCTGTATTTTACGCTTTGCTTACATGTTCGCATAACTTGTAAGTTTACTGACAGGTACATACCTTGTTCACCTGGCTCAGGTGGTGGCTCTGGGGTTGTTGTGTGAGCCACCACTTGAGAATTGCCGTCTTTTTTAATAAAAAAACTTCTAATGTCCATCTTCAGAATCTCCGCGTCCGGGGCTGACAGTTTAAAGTGTAAACATTGTCACAGAGGAGAGGTACGTACCTGTCAGCCAATAAAACACGTTTATTTCCATGCAACTCTCTGATTGGTCTGGTGGCGTCGTCTTGCCTCTGTGTTGCATTCACTGAACATGGGAAATTACAATTCTGCCGTCCGTCCTATAGGTAAAGTAGGTTAATGTATTATATTATTGAGGGAGAATTTGTCCGGGGCTAAAGAAAAAACATCCGGGGCTAAAGCCCCAGATGCCTACCCCAGGCGACGCCCATGGTGTACACAGAGGAAAAAGGGAGAGAATCGGACATTCAATGAGGACAATTATGTCCGCACGGAGTGGCTAACTGGAAGCGCTAAACTTCAGCGTCTATTTTGCTGGCCATGTCTTCTTTTTGACAAGGATTCGTGCTCCCTGAACAATCCTTGGGCAACTTCAGGATTCATCGACCTTGCCAACCTGTCACGGGCAATTGAGAGGCACGGTAAATCCAAAAATCACATAGATTGTGTGATTGTCTGCATACATTAATAAGTAAAATGCTTAAATTAATAAGGAGAGAGTTTCAGCTGGAGAGTGCGTGCGGACCTTTCGGTTAGATAACAGGCGTGTGCAAGTCCTGCATCTGTGTGATACAAATGTGTGTGAAATGATACCGGGCGCTGTAATCACTCATCTGGTTACGTTATTGACCACCCCCCCGACCCAAAAAATGGGCTTCCCCTACATTTTTCCCCACGCCACGCTACTGGTTGTTTTGTGTGGTAGAGGGTCGCTGTCATTGATGCGTTTTGCACCCCGGACCGCTGTTTTGATATTCCGCTGAAGTCTACATTGAGACGTAATATCTCTTCTTTTTTTTCGAGGGAAGGGGGGGTCAGAGGACCTAGGTATAAAAGTCACGGCTCGCCACTGCTCTCCAGCCGGATTACTCTCCACGCTCCTCCACCTCAACAGCCGCTATCAACCGGATTGTTCTCCACGCTCCTTCACCTCAAAATAAACCTTTTTAACACTCTGCCGTGTCCTGCGTTTGGGTCCTCTCAGATAACCGTAACAACGGCTAAGCATAATCTAAAGCACTTTCATCTGTTATGGACTATGCTCTGTACATAGAGGTTTCTGCAGAGAAAGATTGCTTGAGTTTACAGAAATACAGTAAATGAAGAAATACAAATGAGTTGTTGAAAAAAAAATCACATTTTATTCAAAAATCAAATTGTGCAACATGCATCTCAGCACATAGTTACTATGTGTGATTGTTTGCCAAAACCCAGTTTGTAACTGCTGCTTCCTGTGCCTCATTGGAAATCCTTCCACCTCTTTGTTTCTCTGTCCTTCAGATAAACAACAAAGATATAGTGGTCGGTCAGTGTCTGTGTTGCATAAAAGTAAGTTTACCACAGTACATTGTGCAGGATGTGTGTACAGTTATAGTATGCAACATGCCAACAATTCAATTACAGTAATGAAGTAAATACGTTTCACACAACAGATATAAGCACTGAGATATCATGAGTTAGGCAGAGCTAAAACTAACTAACCTGTTTTCAAGTCTAAGTGTCCGGATTACAGAGGCGACAGTACATCGGCTTAGATTAGGCCGAACCCTCCGTCCAGCCTCTCTCATCGTCAAACCATGGTTGATAACATTTAATTTCATTAGAGAGTATTCTTCTTTGTCCACGTCCTCTCCCTCCAGCTCTACCTCCTCTCACTCTCAGCCCAGCTCTTCCTCTTCCTCTTGCTTCCATGTTGGCTTCCATTGTTGCTGTAAGAAAGTACTCACCTGTGGTCTTTTCATAGTGCTAACATCCTGATTGATGAGCCAACAATTATGCTATCAGGTGTTTGGTCAGGTGGAACGTGTTTCTTGATCATTGGTCCATGTGTGAGGCATTTTGAATATCAGTGTTTTAAACCTGCTAACACGTGACTTTATGTCAGATTCCTGTGTCTTACGTGGAGAAACGTGTGCAGTGGTTTGCAAAAAGTGCCATGTTGATTTGCAAATTGTGTGAAAAGCTGAAAACGTGTTTAGAGTTTTGGAGATTTGAGCCGATGTTTTGCTCTTCGAGTGTCAGTTAAAATAATTGTGCTTTATGTATAATGTTAGTGTGTTAGCAATCGAGAAAAACTGTAATTCAATTTTTATTTTCACACTGTAAAGGACCTGAGTACATTTTCCACCACTGCTGGAAATGCAAATTGCTTCATGTGCATAAGCCTTGAATGACCTCTTCAGACCTCTGTTACAACAAGAGTGAAATAACCTGATCTACTCTCAATATCTGCTATTTGAAAGTCACATATGAGTCAAAGTTAAAGCTTCTCAAATGTTTCAAATTAAAAAACATTCTAAATGTAATTTTAATGTATCCTTTTCTCTTATCAGAGGAGGAAAACACACATACATTGGAAACGTTTTATCCATAAATGATAACCATATATAAATACAAATCACTTAAAAAAAACATGATGGTCAAACCTTTCTCCACAAGTGGTTTTGTTGTCAGTTATTTGGGTCAATGGATTCAGGTTTGCTGCTTTGTTTCTATCTGCTGCTGTCCAACATGCAAAACATACCACACCCAAACAAAGTCGCACCCTTTCATTTTTTGACAGCTCCAGAGTCGCCAAGAGTGTTTCCAGCTCCATCAGGTAAAATATATTTGTAGTAATTGTTGATTATAAGTTTAATGCAGGCAGTAAAAGGGAATTTACCAGTATAAGAGCAGTTTTTGAAATGTATATTAACCACAGGCATCATGGGTTATTCTGAATGTCACCAGTTGATTTGTGTTAAACTAACTATAAAAAAGAAATACAATATACTAAATCTTCAATTGATCCGTCATCTAGTATTGTGGTTGTACCAAGAGACTTCATCTTATTTTAAGTTGTTGTATTTATTTTTGAATGGCTATCATTAACATTCTTTTATTTGTGTAATACTGACATAGATGTAGCATCAATTTAGAAATGGAATTATACTGTACTATAAGGACATAATTCACCATTATCTTTGGTTACAGTTTTTCTCGATTGCTAACACACTAACATTATACATAAAGCACAATTATTTTTAACTGACACTCAAAGAGCAAAACATCGGCTCAAATCTCCAAAACACGTTTTCAGCTTTTCACACAATTTGCAAATCTACATGGCACTTTTTGCAAACCACTGCACACGTTTCTCCACGTAAAACACAGGAATCTGACATAAAGTCACGTGTTAGCAGGTTTAAAACACTGATATTCAAAATGCCTCACACATGGACCAATGATCAAGAAACACGTTCCACCTGACCAAACACCTGATAGCATAATTGTTGGCTCATCAATCAGGATGTTAGCACTATACAAAGACCACAGGTGAGTACTTTCTTACAGCAACAATGGAAGCCAACATGGAAGCAAGAGGAACAGGAAAGGCTGAGAGTGAGAGGAGGAAGAAGAGGTGGGTGAGAGTGAGAGGAGGAAGAATGAGAGGTAGAGGAAGAGGAAGAGCTGGGCTGAGAGTGAGAGGAGGAAGAATGAGAGGAGGTAGAGCTGGAGGGAGAGGACGTGGACAAAAAAGAATACTCTCTAATGAAATGAAATGTTATCAACCATGGTTTGACGATGAGAGAGGCTGGACGGAGGGTTCGGCCTAATCTAAGCTGATGTACTGTCGCCTCTGTAATCCGGACACTTAGACTTGAAAACAGGTTAGTTAGTTTTAGCTCTGCATAACTCATGATATCTCAGTGCTTATATCTGTTGTGTGAAACGTATTTACTTCATTACTGTAATTGAATTATTGGCATGTTGCATACTATAACTGTACACACATCCTGCACAATGTACTGTGGTAAACTTACTTTTATGCAACACAGACACTGACCGACCACTATATCTTTGTTGTTTATCTGAAGGACTGAGAAACAAAGAGGTGGAAGGCTAAGGATTTCCAATGACGCACAGGAAGCAGCAGTTACAAACTGGGTTTTGGCAAACAATGCCATCACACTTAGAGAGATCCGAAGCATAGTAACTATGTGCTGAGATGCATGTTGCACAATGTTAGTTTTGAATAAAATGTGATTTCTCATTTGTATTTCTGCATTTACTGTATTTCTGTATACTCAAGCAATCTTTCTCTGCAGAACCCTCTATGCACAGAGCATAGCCCATAACAGATGAGAGTGCTTTAGAGTAGGCTCAGCAGTTGGGTGGTCAAACAATCTAGTTTTATCAATGAAGTGTGTTATATTTGGTGCAAAAGTTTGCATTTGGAAAGTGTTTATGTAGTTTTGAGTGCAGTTCTTCATTTGGCAGGAGAAATTAGGTGTTTTGCACTTTGGGTGTGTGGTTTTGTGAATTGTGTTTAGTGTTCTGAGAAACTGAGCAATACAAAAAAAAAAGTGTGTTAGCAATCGAGAAAAACTGTAAAGACTAGCAAAATACTTATTGCCTTTTCTGTATGCAGTATAAATGTAAGGACAATGTCTCATCTTTTACTGCACTTTATTTTGGCAATTTGTATTCAAAGGTCCTCTTAATAACTGGAAAAGAGATTGTTTGCCACAGTGGCTGTTCTACTCTTACAGTTTTTCTCGATTGCTAACACACATTTTCTTTTTAATTGCTCAGTTTCTCAGAACACTAAACACAATTCACAAAACCACACACCCAAAGTGCAAAACACCTCATTTCTCCTGCCAAATGAAGAACTGCACTCAAAACTACATAAACACTTTCCAAATGCAAACTTTTGCACCAAATATAACACACTTCATTCATAATACTAGATTGTTTGACCACCCAACTACACACTGCTGAGCATCATCTAAAGCACTTTCATCTTTTATGGACTATGCTCTGTGCATAGAGGGTTCTGCATTTTATTCAAAACTAACATTGTGCAACATGCATCTCAGCACATAGTTACTATGCTTCGGATCTCTCTAAGTGTGATGCATTGTTTGCCAAAACCCAGTTTGTAACTGCTGCTTCCTGTGCCTCATTGAAAATCCTTAGCCTTCCACCTCTTTGTTTCTCAGTCCTTCAGATAAACAACAAAGATATAGTGGTCGGTCAGTGTCTGTGTTGCATAAAAGTAAGTTTACCACAGTACATTGTGCAGGATGTGTGTACAGTTATAGTATGCAACATACCAACAATTAAATGACAGTAATGAAGTAAATACGTTTCACACAACAGATATAAGCGCTGAGATATCATGAGTTATGCAGAGCTAAAACTAACTAACCTGTTTTCAAGTCTAAGTGTCCGGATTACAGAGGCGACAGTACATCGGCTTAGATTAGGGTGAACCCTCCGTCCAGCCTCTCTCATCGACAAACCATGGTTGATAACATTTCATTTCATTAGAGTATTCTTCTTTGTCCACGTCCTCTCCCTCCAGCTCTACCTCCTCTCATTCTTCCTCCTCTCACTCTCAGCCCAGCTCTTCCTCTTCCTCTTCCTCTTGCTTCCATGTTGGCTTCCATTGTTGCTGTAAGAAAGTACTCACCTGTGGTCTTTTCATAGTGCTAACATCCTGATTGATGAGCCAACAATGATGCTATCAGGTGTTTGGTCAGGTGGAACGTGTTTCTTGATAATTGGTCCATGTGTGAGGCATTTTGAATATCAGTGTTTTAAACCTGCTAACACGTGACTTTATGTCAGATTCCTGTGTCTTACGTGGAGAAACGTGTGCAGTGGTTTGCAAAAAGTGCCATGTTGATTTGCAAATTGTGTCAAAAGCTGAAAACGTGTTTAGAGTTTTGGAGATTTGAGCCGATGTTTTGCTCTTTGAGTGTCAGTTAAAATAATTGTGCTTTATGTATAATGTTAGTGTCTTAGCAATCGAGAAAAACTGTAATATTTCAAAGCTGAGCACAGTTCATTCTCATTCAAATAAATTATGCAAAGCGCATCGAAAATCTAATCAGATTATCTATTAAAAGATAAATATAGTGCAAAAATTATGTTTTCAGAGTTCTCCAACTGAATAAGTGGTATGAGACTTACAGAATGAGCTTTTTGTTTATCAGAAGTGTATTTTGCTTTGCACTGATTTGTGTGTTTACAGGTTAATTGTTCACTGTGGGTAGCTCAATTTATCCAACATCCGATGGGAGCCCCACCACCTGAGAAAGAGTGGAGCAGCGATCTCTTTGACTGCTTTGAGGACCACGCTACATGTAAGAAATAAAACCATGACTTAAAACGTTTTTTTCCCTTTTTTTGTGCATTATTGTGCAATATATTCAGCAAGCATCTCTGTCGGTGTATCTCCCTGTTTTTTTCAGGTTGCTACGGCTTCTGGTGTGGCCCTTGTCTGGCCTGCACTGTTACAGGACGGTTTGGTGAAAACCGTTTACTCCCAGTATGTGACATACTGAGCATGTGCACATCAGTAATGTGTGGAATTCCTGTCTATGTGCCTCCAGCAGTCCTGTCTGTTAGGGTTGCCATGCGAAACAGATACCACATCAAGGTAGGATGCTTGTAAGCATACTAGATGTCACAAAACAAATTTCATAAAAGTAAAAAAATGTAACTTAATAAACATATTTTTGTTTGGTTCTCTGCAGGGTTCTCTCTGTGGAGACATGTGTGTGTCCTGTTTGTGTCAGTGGTGCTCCTGGTGTCAGATGCATCGTGAGTTAAAACATCGCAATAAAACTCCTAATGTCATCGTTGTGCAAAGTCAACCCATTATACAAATGCAGCCTGCTCCAATGATGATGGTTGCTCAAGCTGGATATGTGACCCAACCAGGAGTCACCGTGATATCAAACTGAGCTCTGTGGACTCTCATGTGTCCGTCTGCCTTGTGAAGGAAGTTCAGCTCAGGCTGCTGTCTGTTTTATTAACATCTATATATCTAAGTGCATGTTTATCAAGTGTAATTACACTGCAGTCTCTTTAAATTGTGTCTCTTTTTGTCAAAAGTATAGAGATTTCTTTTTTTTTAACTATAAAATGACAAACCTTGTTTCAAATCTCTTGGGAAAAGTACTTTGCATGTATTTGGTCAAGGATAAAAAAAAGCTTGTGGTTTTTTGCATTTTTACCCAAATTAATTGTGTGTGGTCTATTAATAAGAGAAATAATAAAGTTGTAGAATGAGGAATAAAGTAGGCCTGCTACTCAGCGTCTTCATTGTAAGTGCACTTCATCCTAAAGGCCAACAGAGGGCACTCTGTGATCCAGATTGATGGTCAAAAGACATCATTAACTACAAACGGGGATGCACGGACCCTCCCCATACCAGATAGTATTACTTCATTGAATTATAAGACATATTTAGGATTTTTGGGCTTTTACTGATTTTCATCAATATTTTTAGAAAATAACATGAAACTGCATAGTACAAATCAGCAGTGTTTTTTTTATTAAAACTTTTATAATCTGACTCTTATACTCTAATGACAGTCCTTCACATACATGTTATGTGAATATGATATTTAAGCAGTTTTTGTTAAAACCTTTTCTATAGTCTCCATGTCATGTGACACAGTCACTCCAAATCAATGCATCATTCTTTTTCTACACTTGACGAGTAGGAAACAACTCCTGCTGTTTTTTATTGAAAATTCTTAATTATTTTATGCTGTCCATTATCTAATTCTGGTACTCCAAAACAATGCAGCATTGTATCACTTTATAGGCCAAGGACATACCTTTCATTGGATTTTAGTTGATCTTCTATTTATATGGATATTTGAATTACAATTCATAATTTTCTTTATTGGAAAATCTCATTGTAAGCAGCATTGTCATACTACAGTTGAAAGTAGGACACACCCTTTTAAACAATAACCATTATGACTTCAATATAGCTTTCACAATGGGATAAATGATGGAGTACTTAAACTAAAGTACAGTGTACATAATTAAAAAAAGGTCAAGGGCTAGCACAATATCTGATTGACTTTCAGTTTCTAATTTATAATAACAGATATTGTTTAAAATGTATTGGGAAGATCAGACCTTTAAAATCTTTATTTCACCATGAGTAATCTTAGGAACTGAGTGTGGTCTGTAATCAGGGCCGGACTGGGACAATAAATCAGGCCGGGAATTATACACCCAACCAGGCCACTACCAGTTTTATTTTGTGTAATTTTCCTGGATTTATGTGTCAATATTTACAGCGTTGCTGCCCGTAGTGATAACCCTAAACTTTAAATCTACTACCCCAGAATAAACATGGACATGGGTTACTATTTTTTTTTAAAAGTGCAAATCTATTTAGGAACCTATCCATGTGAACATATTTTAAGTGGAGGTGGACCTCAAATCCTCTAGGGGGGTCCGGGGGCATGCTCCCCGAGGAAGATTTTTTTTTTAAAATGTTGGACTTAAATGCATCAATCTAGTGCACTTTGAGGGGGAAATAAAGAGACTACACCCATATGAAACAGAACTGTATACATTTAAATAATCATAAAATCATAATAACATGGCCATAACCAATAACATACCATATCCAATATGAAAAAACATTGAAACTTGTTTATTTATTTGTTTTTGGTTCATTTATAGTTAGCATGGCATAGTGTGTCTGTGCTCCTGAATCAGCCTCACCTGTCTCCCTCCTCTCCCCCTGCTCCTCTTTGAGGCAGCAGCAAAGACTAGTTTTAGCTCTCAACAAGTTTTTAAAGTTTATCTTACCTTTTTTCACCTAGTTAACTTTTTTAAATTATTATTCATGCATATTTTACTAATCACTCCCCCTTCAAATGGAAATATGTGTTTACATAAATGGTGACCAAACCGTTTGAGACCCACAGAGATAACTTAGACTAAGTTAACTATCTAAACACTCCTCTAAACACAGAGTCCTTTACCTCACCTGAGCTGTAGTTATCAGTCTCTCAGTCTGACAGGAGAGGACTCTCCTCCACCTTGTTGACAGCTCATTCCGTTAGCGCCGCTAGCTAGCACCGGATGCTAACAACAACAATACACGTAACCAGTGCACGCAGTTCTCGCGCCACACATACACACCCTCCCGAGCTTGAATGACACGAGACCAATCGAGGGCATTAGTGTATGATCTGTATGAAAGTGTCCATGTCGGCGGGCCACATCATGTAGACAGCCAGTCACCCTCTGTGAGGCAAAGTCAGACCCACATTTGCGCAGCGTTGCGTTCACAATACATAAAAAAAATTCCTCAAGCCAGCAGGCCACTTAGCAGGCCAGGCCATCGGGAAACCTCCCGGTCCTCCCGATGGCCAGTCCGGGCCTGTCTGTAATTAAAAGAATAAATAAAGTTGTCTATAATGAGAACCACATAGTGTTCCCTTATTGAAACCCTGTGGTGAAAAGTGAGGGCTGGATGTGAGATAGCCATCCACCGACTGCTGACAGGGTGAGTAAAATGATCGAAGTAAATCGAACCAGAGACATGAAGCTGGGAGCGTTGTCGCAGAACAAAGAGACAGCAAATCCGGAAATTAGTGTGGGGGAAGTTATTGTCAAGAAAGAAACCTTCACACTATTGTAGAAGTAAATTCCTTCACAGATTATCTATCATGAGATAAACATTCACAAAAGGAAATTATCTATTAAAAGGAACTCGAAGGAGTGGCGTTGTATTAAAATGTCACTGCTTGTTGAACAAGGAAACACCAAACAGATGAAACCAGGGTTTTTAAAGAAATGTTGACTTTGTCTTTTGGCTATCTCTTTTAAAGTCATAGAAAATGTCATTAAACAAAGGGAACACTTTTAAACATATTAACTCATATTTATCAAACTTCATTAATTAGTGTAAGCTAAGATGTTTGAAATAAAAACTGCCAACATAACTTGTAAGGGAATATTTCTGTCTTACTCTTAAGTGTCAAAGAATCATTCTTCCTTACTCCTAAAATATGTAACCTTATTGCCTGTTGACGTTTACGACCAAACCCTGGCTCTGTTATCTCTCATAAGGAATGGGAGGCTCCAGCTATCTTGATAAACCAGTTCAACTCTCGGTCACGAAATGGTTTACGACTGTGAGAACGCTGGCTTTCTAAGCTCCACAGATGTTTACGCCTCCCCCAATATGCTCATTAACTCTCTGTAAACTAGTTAAATGGTCTATCGAGAGATAGGCTAGGCAGAATTGACATGGCAACCCACCGTGCAGTCAGAAACTTTTGCTGCTGTGACTTGTGATATGAATTCTCCGGCCGTTGACTTGTAATAAACATCATTGTTTGACATCAAAGCTCCAACTCTCCTCGTGTCTCTCTGTGTACAGTGTACATAATGAAAAAATGTCAAGGGCTAGCACATCAAACAATCAAACCATTCCTCAGAAGTAGTTCAGTTTCCGATATGTTGTGCCAATGGATTCAGGTTTTCCAGCATTGCTTGAGTTCAGCTGTCTGAAACACACCGATTGATACTTCTAAACCATCACATAGGCTCTCATTAATTGGCAACTTCAGAGTCGCAGAGGTGTCCAGCTCCATCAGGTAAACATGTTACACCTTTATCCTAACTGTTAAATGAAAGTTTAATGAGAAGAATTTAACAGTATAATCTTTCTGAAGACAAAAATGATTGTTTTGTTTTTAAAGACTTAACTTCATTATGTTGAAATATAAAAACACAATCAAAGGTCAACTTGGATTACAATATGATAAATTCTTAGAAACAGATCTTAGTCTTTTGGTTTCTAATGTATCTGCAGCGACAAACACACCTGCACATGTTTAATATTTGGTTGTTTTGTTGATCTGTACATTTCCTCTTCTGTCTTAAAAGTAAATGGACTTTAATGTACTTTAAATTAATTCGGTAGTAACAATTAATTATCATATCAGATTTTGTTTATAGCCCTGTAGTAGAACTGTTTTTATGTCTTGAAAGTAAATATAATCATTCATGGACTTGAATGTACTTTAATTTAATTCTTAAGTAACTATTTATTTGACAAATATTTTTAAGATGTTCTGTGAAAAGTTGGGGTATGAGTTTGTTTTCCTTATTAACTGTTAGTCAAAGCTGAACACAGTACAGTATATCAAAACATGATTGAGTGGAAACACAGTAATACATACACACTTTATTTGATACACCTGTTCAACTGCTCGGTAACGAAAATATATTATCAGCCAATCACTTGGCAGCAACCCAATGCATTTAGGCTTGCAGACATTGTCAAGACGACCTGGTGAAGTTCAAACAGAGCATCAGAATGAGGAAGAAAGGGAATTTAAGTGACTTTGAACGTGGCATGGTTGTTGGTGCCAGACGGGCTGGTATTTCAGAAACTTCTGATCTACCGGGATTCTCACACACAACCATCACTAGGGTTTACAGAGAATGGTCAGAAAAAGTGAAAATATCTAGTGAGCGGCAATTCTCTGGGAACAAATGCCTTGTTTATGCCAAAGGTCAGAGGAGAATAACCAGACTGGTTAAAGACAATAGAAAGGCAACAGTAACTCAAATAACCACTCGTTAAAACCAAGTAATGCAGAAGACCATCTCTGAACACAAAACACTTGGAACTTTGAGTGTATAAATATATACCGTATATATTGCGTAGTGTAGCATGCTCTGCATTTCTCGCAATAACAGAAATGTATTGTTTACTAGCAATTGATCTAAGAAATATTTGTATTTCCTTTACAAGTGCTAACTGGTGGATATCAAGAAGTTGGAAGGTTTGCATTTAAAGACGCTTCACATTTTCTCATAAACAAGATCTAAAGTCATATTACAGTACACCGAAACATGTCAAACTATTCCTCAGATACTTTCCCTTCACATTGTTTTGTGCACATTTATTCAGGTTTCGAAGCATTGTCTGCTATCAGCCAGCTGTCAGACAAGTCTAAACAAGTTATGAAATGCTCTCCGAGATCTGATCAGTTCATCTGCTAAAAGATGAATGTGCTGCAATAATGGCCTTTCCATAGGGGCTCCAAATGAATTACTAGCAAAAATAATTGCAATATATGAACTTTTTATAATCAGAAATTGAGTATTTGTTTTTGCTTTGCTCTGATTTCTGTGTGAACAGGTACATTGTTCACTGCTAAACTCATCCAACATCAGATGGCAGCAAAACCCGAGACAGACTGGAGCAGTGGTCTCTGTGACTGCTTTGAGGACGCGAGCACTTGTAAGAATCATAATCAAAACTTTTATTATTGGATTATCAAACCCCTTCTTTAGCAAGTAACTCTGTTGAGTATCTCTGTGTTTGTTTTTCAGGTTGCTATGGTTTCTGGTGCTGCCCTTGTCTTGCCTGCACAGTTTCAGGACGTTTTGGAGAGAACCGTTGTCTCCCATTATGTGACATGCTCAGCCCCGCTATAACAGCGTCCTGCGGGATACCCCTCTTTGTGCCTCCTGCAGTCCTGTCTTTGAGGGTTGCCACTCGTCACAGATATCATATCAAGGTATGATGTAAAGCTGATGCATACTGGACGTCCCATGTCACATTTCATGACAGTGAAGCTACTGTATGATGAATTTCCAACACTACGTTTATTTCTTTGGTTCTCTGCAGGGTTCTCTCTGTAATGACATCGCAGTGTCCTGTTTCTGTCTGTGGTGCTCCTGGTGTCAGATGCATCGTGAGTTAAAACATCAACAAAAAGAACCCAATGTCATCGTCGTGCAAAATCAACCTGTTGCACAAATGCAGCCTACAGTGATGATGGTTCCCCAAGCTGTATATGTGACCCAACCAGGAGTCACCGTGATGTCACGCTGAGCTCTGTGGATTCTCATTGGGTCTTCTGAAGGAAATTCAACTCATGCTGCTGTTTTTGCATGTTTATCATTGAAAAAACAAAGTGCAATCACTTGAAATTAACTAAATGTAATCACTTTAAATCCATCTCTTTTTTATCAGAGTATGCTGATTGAGTTTCCGTTTCTAATTTATAATGACAGTTATACATCTTTAATCTTTAGGAAGTGATCTTTAATCTTAGGAAGTGAGTGTGGTCTGTAATTAAAATAATCAATAAAGTTGTCTATAATGATAACCACAGCACTGTTCCCTTATTGAAACCCTGTGGTGAAAAGTGAGGGCTGGATGTGAGATAGCCGTCCACCGAGTAAAGTAAATCGAACCAGAGAGATGAAGCTGGGAGTGTTGTCACAGAACAAAGAGACAGCAAATGAGGCATGTGACGTGTGCATGTGTAAAAGAAACGATGTTGCTCAAGTTCACTGCCGGAACTAGCTTGCATCCTTCACTCCATATGTAAATAAAACATGAATTACTGATTTGTACTGCTCTTATTAATTCTGACATTTAGCTTTTAATTTAAAAACAAAAAAGAAAATAGAGAGAGAGAGAGATACAAATAGCCTGCTGGGTGAAGCACACATAAAAACAAAACAAAAGCATTCCAATAAAAGCTCGTCATTTTGATGACGTAGGTTTCAGAAACTGATGTATGTATTATGATGCACCTGGCAAGGTGCAGAGAATATATCGAGCTACATCAGGTAAGACCAAATCAATTGAATTTCACTTTCTTTGTATTAGGAACATGCAGCCGTTTTTATATATGAGGATATACTTGAAAACAAAATGTCAGATACTTTAATCGTTCATCTAAGTACAGTTTTTTAAAATCTGAATTGACAAAAAACACATCTACACATTTTTACCATCACTTTATAAATCCTGTATAACAATTCCTATGACTTCATTGCATCAGTGAAAAGTTTGTTAATGTACAATATAATATGAGGTGACTTACAAAACGTACTGCTTTCACTTCCATTAGCCTACTGCGTCAAACTGAGCTTAAAGGTGTGTCAGGTCAGGAATGATAACTTGTAAAAAGTCTGTGGCTAAAGTGTGAGTGGTTTATCGTGGGAGAGAGTTAGAAAATATATTTAGTTTTTAGTTTGCACTTTCATTGTAGGCTACTGCCCTGAACCATATCCCGGCTACTCTAGTCACTCTGTCATCAAAACTGTATAGTAGCCATACAAAAAGAAGTCTAATAAAGTATTTCACAAACAAGTGATGGTTTACTCCATTGTAAGCAAAAAAAAACACTTAATAGAAAACGTAGTGGATGCCATACAGAACTCTGTTGTGACATAACTAATCTAATAAGATGATAAAAGTCTTAATATAACATATATTATTTATGAATGTCATAACATGTAACAACATTTGCATAATACAGTATTTCCTATAACATGCATTAACAAGCCATGGTCTAGTATTTCATAGAAAAATAATAAATGAATGTCTTAAAAAGTCAGAAATAGTGCTATGCCCTTCATATATCATAATATAGTATGTCATACGACAATTATAATACGATTCATAATAAAGCATATCATGCACTGGTGCCACACATTTGGTTTTTCTGATTTCTCTTTGTTAAGAGGTTCATTGTTCACCGTCTTTGGCGAAAGTTTCCCAACAACAATGGCAGGAGAACCAGAGAAGGCCTGGAGCAGCGCTCTCCTCGACTGCTTTGAGGACATGAATACGTGTAAGAATCAATACAGCTATGTTGAGACATCTTCATTGTATTGGGATAAGGCCTTATTTTGTCCTATAGGGCCTTCATTTAAAAGTCACTGTGAGTCAATACAACTGTGGTGTGTCCTTGTGGGTTTTCAGGTTGCTATGGTTTCTGGTGCGGCCCTTGTCTTGCCTGCACCGTTTCAGGACGGTTCGGGGAGAATTATTGTTTCCCATTATGTGACATAGTACCAATGTGCACATCAGTAACGTATGGAATACCCATCTGTGTGCCTCCTGCAGCCCTGTCTATTAGGGGTGTAACGGTACACGTACCCGTACCGAAATTATTCGGTACGGGCCCTTCGGTTCGGTACAGGTGTGTACCGAAGTGTACCGAACGAATATAACGTTAAACGTAAAACATTGAGAACGTGAACAACTTTTTGGAAGTAATCTCAGGTGCTGCGTCGCAGCATTCAGAGTAATTTGCTCACATTGGGTTCAACGCGTCATAGAGCGAGCAAGTCATTTCATTGGATGAGAGGCATACTATGAGAGCTGGACAGAGGAATGCGTTCAAATGTAGTCAGTAATTTGAGGAACTGTCGAAAATTAATGGCGAACGCAGATAACGTTGAGCTCGAAAATCCTCCAGCATCATTGAAGTCTCCGGTTTGGGAACATTTTGGTTTCGCAGTTACGTACAAGGATGAAGGACAAAGACAGGTGGACCGAACCAAAGCTGTTTGTCGGCATTGTTCAACTAACATTGGTAGCGCGGCTGGCAATACATAAAACTTGCACACTCTTGAAAAGGCATCACCCGAACGTGAATATCACCGGTACCAAAAGAAAAAAGACTGAAGTGCAAACCCAACTCCCACTAGCATGTAAGCCTCCACCACTCGCAGAGAGTTCAGACCGAGCCAAAGCTATTACAAACGCCAAATATCCTTATGTTGCCATGTTAGCAAAGCGCTACCTGGCTGTATCTGCTACCTCTGTCCCTAGAGAGAGGGTGTTCTCCACATCAGGAGACATTGTTAGTGCCAGCAGATCTGCCCTTTCGGAAAGCAATGTGGACAAGTTCATTTTTCTTTAAAAAAACATGAAAATACAATGACAAGCAAGTCCTAATGCCAAACTGGCTGCTTAGGAACTAGTACAGTACAGTTCAAATACAGATTATTTCAGTTCATCGAAAAGCTGCACCTTAATGTTTATTTTATCATATTTTGTATTTATTTGAGTGAATACATTATTCACAGTTTAATAATAATAAAAAATATATATATATGTTTTGTTTTGTGAAAAAAAATTCTGCTGTACCGAACCGAACCGTGACCAAAAAACCGAGGTACGTACCGAACCGAAATGTTTGTGAACCGTTACACCCCTACTGTCTATTAGGGCTGCCATGCGAAACAGATACCATATCAAGGTATGATGCATGTGAAGTGTATACTAATGATGTATGCTACATTTCACACGACAAGTTTAATCAAAGTGAAGCACTGTCTAGTATACAACTTAGCATTTTACTTTTCTTTGGATCTCTGCAGGGTTCTCTCTGTGACGACGTTGCAGTGTCCTGTTTCTGTCAGAGGTGCTCCTGGTGTCAGATGCACCGTGAGTTAAAATATCGCAATACCATTCCTGTTGTCATCAATATGCAGCATCAAACCGTGGTACAAATGCAGAATCAAAACCTGCCACAAATGCAGAATCAATACCTGCCACAAATGCAGAATCCATACATACCACAAATGCAGAATCAATACCTGCCACAAATGCAGAATCAATACCTGCCCCAAATGCAGAATCAATACATGCCCCAAATGGAGCCTGTCTTTGTGACGACGGCTCAACCACAGCCAGTTGGTTCTGTGAGCCCACCAGCATACAAGAAGTCACCCTGAGTTCTGTGGCATCTCATTGGTCGGTTGTGTCTTGTGAAAAATATGTGATTCTGCTCCGACCGTACGGCTGTTTATCTTAGTATAAAACACAAAGATTGAAGCTCATTTGTATTCTGTTCCCATGGTATGAAGAACATCTTTCAGTTTCCTAATAATAGTTTAAAACATCTTCAAGCCCATGAGGCTTCATTCACACATCACTTATAGTCATATAACAATGTTAACCATTAGTTTCAAATTATTTTTCATTATTGTTAATCCTTATTTCTGGATGTATCCTAAACCGCGCTTTGTTTCTGAGAGGTTTGTTCCAAGTCATGAAGCAGACACACCGGTTTATCCACTCGGTGGACTGCTTCGGCACATTTCTTCTGAAAGCAAAACTAATTCACTCCTCTCACTTTCACTTCTCAAGAAGTCTATTGTTTTAAAGAATGTGAAACTTTTCCATTTCTAATTGACTTACAGGATATTACATTTAAACTTGAGATTTTATTGCTTTTGTTGTTGACTCATTGTGAGACTTGTAGCATGAAAGGATTCATTCAGATGTAATCTAAACTTTTTTTCAATGTTGATTTATCATTTACGTTACTTGTTTATAGCTTTAGCATGTTTTGATCTGTTAAATTAATGGTTGGTTATTTTATTTGTTTGTGAATAAACCACTATAATAAAACAGATTTCCAGTTTATATATGTACAGAAAGAAACACACAAAATCCAAATAAGCGATTTCATTTGTTTTGTATTGATGATGGTTTCCTGCTTTGGACCACAAGAGACCTACACATGTTCCATTTTGTCTTTTCTCCACGGGGAGAAGTCAGTTTACTGAAAATGTTGTGTTTTTAAAAGTCCCAAGATTTAAAGTCCAATGATTTTACAATCCTCGTATTTTCTTTCCTGTTGAAAACTGCTCCCAGAATGGCGAGCCCTTCACCACTACGATGAAGCTGGGAGAGCCTGCCTTGACGAAAAACCTGTTAACAGAACAAAGAGACAGGGAATCAGGAAATGAGAGCGAAGGAAGTTAGTGTCAGTGTAGTGTTAGAAAGAAACCTTGGCACCGTGGTAGTAACACATTCCTAACACATTTCTAACAGATCACCTTTATTTGATAAAAGTTGCCTATAAACTAGAAAACAGCAAACAACTGACAGCAGGGTTTTTAAAGAAATGTGCATGGTTCTCATTGTTGTTTTATTAAACTGGCTGGATCAACTCATACTGTAAAAACTACAATAACAATAATATGCAAAGTTGTGTGGGCATGCAACAACTAACATGACTTAAAACCAGTGTTGGGACTAACGCAACTACCTTTTGCGGTAACTAATAACGTTACTAGTTACCTATTCCATTCAGTAACGCCGTTATAGTTACTGTGATTTAAATGGGTGCGTTACTGCGTTACATTATGTGATCCAACTGAACCGAATCTCCCTGTGGATGTAACTTACAGGCGAATACAGTGGTGTCCTCTCACAGTAACATGGAAAAGTGAAAGTGACTAGAGAGGAGTGATGATTGGTTAACGCGGGGTAACATTTCAGGGTAAGCCAATCAGAGACAGAGTTAGGCGGGTCTTGCCTTATGGGGAAAATACACAGACACAAACACTTGCTCACACACACGGCAACGCCCACCACCAGCACACACTCACACAATGGCAGATGCAAGTATCAGCGAGAGCAGCAGCGCATTTACAACTTGGAGATATAACGCGTTAGTCCCAACACTGACTACAAGTGCACTAATTAGAACTTGATTGTTGAGGCTATAATAAAGATGCCTGTCAAAATGTCTAAACATATCTTTTGTGTTTTATTGTTCCACTACATTTCATAATGACAATTGCTACAATTATGGGGAGTTGTCTTTTCTCTTACTGTGCCACAGAACAACACAAAAACTTGTATTTTTATTGTTATTATTTTTAAAGTAAAGTAACTTGTTACTTTTATAATTTAGTAACTAATAAAGTAACTAGTTTTTTGAGAGCAGTAACTATAACTAGTTACTTTTTAAAAGTAACTTGCCCAACACTGCTTAAAACTGACTCATAGGCTGCAACACACAATTGTTATATACACGATATTAAAAGAAGAAACAATTATTCTTAAACAACAAAAAAGAGGTGAAGGTTAAAATATCAATAACAAGACAATACTGAACACCTGCAAACTGATGAAAGTGAAGAACTCTTGATGGCCATGTTATGAATCAAAATGAAATCACACCTAATAGGGCTGCACGATATTGGAAACAACTGACATTGCCATATTTTTTTCCCTGCGATATGAAAAAATACAGGAATTCAAGAAAAGACCGTTTTTTTGTCCACAAAGCATCCTTTCTTGAAATGCTATACAATTGGTATTTTTCTAACTATATTTAACTGGATGAAGGATTTTAGTCACGGCCATCTGGATCTTAAGTTATCAGAGCAACAAGCTGAGCTAGCTCGGTTAGCAGCGCCGAACTGCCTTTGAGAAACACATGCAACTACTTTATTCAGTGTTTTTACCTTTAATCACGGGGTCCGTTTGCTTTGGAGATTTGATTGTGATTGGTGGTTTGCTGTGCATGCAGAGCCTGCATGTCACTCACTCAAGTACCCCTGACATGAGAGCGGCACGAGTTTTCCTTATGTAGCAAGCAGCAAAATAATTGTAACATGACGTGTTTGAGTTCATTTGCCTACTTAATATCGCACGTCCTAAAAAAATGATATCGTGCAGCCCTAACACTAATGAGAAACAGACTTCATATGGACGCACCTTTTATGCTGCAACACCTTTAAAAGTAAAGTCTCCGGTTTCACTTGGTAGAGAGTGTCCTTGACCTCATCTTCAAAGTACAGCTAGAGAGAGAGGGGGGGGGTTAAAAATGCATTATTATTATTTCATCTAGAGATACTACTGCCCTCTTTTCAGTATTGAAATCTAACCCTGTAGTCTTGATTACTTGTATTCATCAGAAACCAGTAATGTACATAATACTAGTAACATCATAGTATGAAATGTTCTGTTTTAAGGTTCATGTCATACATTTTTGCAAGTGTTTGAACTTGGCTGCTATAATAAGTCTATAATAAACTGCGTAGTCAAAATAAAATGCCCATATTTAATACACAATTTCTAATCACAAAGCCATCGGAGTATAAAACATGTATTCTGTTATAACAAACCTTCGCTCTGGTTTTAAAATTGTAGATTTAATTTTTTACAAACAGGTTTAATAATTTCACTATTGGACAACTACATCATATTTCCTTAAAAAAAATAATGGCATTATGTAGGAAATCACTGTCACTTAAAATAGTAAAAATGACACTATGTTGACTTTTTCAGAGTGGTATTCTCAAATATTCATGACATCTATTGTGGTGAAGAAGAAAATCCCCCAAATTATATTTTAATTGCTTTTAGCTTAATCTACTGACTTTCCATAGGAGTCACTGAGTGATAACATTCATCCAATAAAGGAAAACACACAAACCTGCAGATTCTGTGGATGGTATTTTCTGTCTGCGTCCCAAGGTGGGAGTTCTTCTCCAAACATGAGCGCCAGATGATTAACGAAACTGAACAAGACAAGTAGAACACAGTTATATTGTAGCATTCTTACAGACACTACCAACAGATTAAACTTTACTTAGGTGAAATGGGGAAAGGTTGACATGTAGAGTGTCCCACAGAAGTGCGACAAAACAAGATAAATTCAGGACGAGACAAAAAACATTTACCAGTCGTTCTCGCAGAAAGCAGAGATGAAATCAGTCTGCTGGTGTTCGGGATAGAGGAAGAGAACAGGCCAGTGCAGAATGTGCTGCTCGTCCAGGAACACCCGAGCTCCCGTGGCCTCCTGAGAGCTGAGGCAGTCCAGGCTCAGCTGAGACAACGCTGCCGAGGAGCTTTCTTCCTCGCCGTCTGACTCACGATGACGAGGCTTGCTGGTCTGGAAGAGCTTGATGCCACGATCCTGCACAAAGCACACAAAGAAAATAGGAAAACTGGCGTACAGATATAGAAAAGTCTCAGATTTGACGTTTCAGATATCAAATAATTTTCGCATACATATTACAAAGTCCAATAGGCTAGATGCTTAACTGAGAACAAGTTTGAGTTTAAATGGTATGCTTACCGTAATAGCAGCCAGAAGAGCTTCTTTCTCACCATGCAGCTTTTTCTCTCTGATCTTAGCCTTCCTGGCATCTCTCTCTGCTGCTCTCTGTTTAAAAAACAGGGCTTTATGCTTGAGTGGAACTAAATCTTCCACCCCAAAATCCCTTGAACTCATCAATGACTGTACCTTGTGTTTATCTGCTGTAGCTCTCAGCTCCTGCAGCTTCTTGTCAGTGGGATGGATCTTGAGCCCCTCATCACACCACTGAACGCCCTCTGCAAAGCTACGCAGCTCTATACAACTCTGAGCACCTGCAGAAACAGGCACGATGTACACAGGTGTCCTTATTTTAAGCATTGATTTGCTTAAGCAACATTAATGCAATTTTCTAGAAGATAAGCTAATATCCCACACCTCTGATCAAGGCTTTTAGGTGGTCTGGTTTGATCTTCTTTGCAGCTGCAGCATCGTTCAATGCAGAGCGCATGTTACCTGGGAGGGGGAAAAATACAGAAAGAGTGAGACGGAAATTAATAAAGAAACACATGCAGATTTTAACACGTTCCCATATTCAGAATCGCTTTATTGGCCCAGTATGTGTACTGTAAATGAAGTACAAGGACAACAAAGCTGAACAAGGTAAACATAAATATTTGGCTACTATACAAAGATTTATATGTTAATCTACACAATGACATATGTAACTGTGGGGACACTAGTTGTAAGGGTCTGGCTTATACATGAGATGATAAATGTGATAGGTTGCTTGCTTTACATGAGGACGGTGAATATGATTTTATATTAAGAGTATGCAGCGGAGTATGCAACATATATTTACATGTTTCCGGTGAACAGTGTGAATGTACAGTATACAAATACACGAGTTACTCGAAAAGTGGGTGTTTGGTGTAACAGGGTTATTGTTTCTTATACTAGATGGCTGATGTTCATTGTAAATCACATTTAAACAACTGTGTTATTTTATATCTTTGATTCTACATTTAGATTGTTGAAGGGAGCCTGAGAACCACAACATGAATTATCAATGACTGCTTTATTGTTAATGTTGCGCATACAAATCCTGATGCTAGTTATAAATCATATTTCTGTATCCTATTATTTAATGTATTTGTGTGACATGTAAAGAGCTCCTTACCCAGATGGAAGTGTGCTGCCGCCCTGTTGGTGAGGAGGACCGTGTTGATGTTCTGGTCTCCACACTTCTTATTTAAACCTGCTGTGTAGGACAGTATGGCCTTCTTGTAGTTCTTTTCCTTGAAAAACTCATTGCCCTCATCTTTCAGGTTAGCTGCTTGCTCTGACAATAATGAGGGAAATGAAAGGAATCAATAACAGTTTCTGAAATCTGAAACACAGGAGATATAAAGGGGCTTGTGGTCCACCTACCTTCTGGGGGGGCATCTTCATCATGGATCATGGCCTGCAGACAGGCTAGTTCCGGGTATGATTGTGAGTCAATCTCTTCAGGGGCTTTTTTCATGAACATAGGTATTTTATCAAACTCCTAAATGAGATGTAAAGAAACAGAGAGCTCACTGTGGATGGACAACATATGTACCTGTGAGTTAGCATGCTAGCCCACAACAATAACATTCAAGTTAACATATTGTAACGTAGAAATAACTTCCTTCTCTTATCTTGGCAACTGATAGTTTATAATGCTTACCTCTTCCCAGTTGTCTTTACTAAAGGCATTTTTATATGTGGTTGTCTTGAATTTCTCCATGAACTCGTCCATGCCATCGTCGCTGTCATCCTGAGGGGCCGCCATCTTTGTATCAATGTGCGTTGAAAGCCTTGAGCCTGTTCCCCTGTTTATAAATCTGCTGTCAACTATGACAAGTGACTACTGCCACCAGCACACTAGCTGTAATAATGTTAAATCTTCTAGGAAGTTGCCGAGCTCCTTGTTTACACATGTGCAGTAGCGGTACTACTTGCATACAGATCCGTGCGGAAACACATCATGGATACATTAGTTCCGTTGCGGCCTGACCAAAAAACGATATTAAAAATCTTTAAAAACAATACAAAAGTAATGTTTCTACCTTGAGTATTTCCATGTTATGCTGTATTATTGTTCATCTCAAACATATTTGTTAAGGGAATACAAATGTAATGCTACATAAATAACAAGGCTATATGAGCCTTGCACTAGTTTTCATCACAATTATTTGAGTTGCAATTGCAAGCACTGAGTTGTAATGTATGTTACAGATGCAAATGTATATTAAGACACAACAGCAAATCATTATTTATGTTCACCTCATGTATTATTTTAAAGATTGGACAATTGATTTTGACATTCCTAACTTTAATGTATGTACAGTATGTATGATCCTCAAAGAAAATGTCAAGCTCTTGTTATTACATAAAGCAAAGTCAACCAGGATGTTTGTTAAATATTTGTATACCTTTAAAATAATTTCCCCTTCTTAATAAAAAAACTTTAATAAAGAAATATAAGGCTTGTATCTTCTTTCCCACCACCTCTCTGATTGCATCACGCACAAAGTACACACAAACATAAAATACAACTTTTATTTCCACAGTTGTTATTCATACAGTTTCCACTCTTCCTAGTAGATCTAAGAGTCCATCTTTACTGAGAAACATTGTCTCACCTGTCAGTTGACAGATAACCTCAAACCTGGGAGTTTCCTCCAGGGCTCCCTGTCCCACCACAATCACATACGGGTAGCCGAGTCTGCTGGCATCCTTCAGCCTTTTCCCAATGGTCATCTGGGTACGGTCATCAAAAACAACTTCCCCTCTCAAACGAGGCAGAGTCTCTCCCAACGTGTGAACCAGTTCCTCAGCTAAGACTGCCGCCCCGTCCATCTTACTGCCCTTCTTTGGGGGCACAACACAGGCCTGGTAGGGGGCGAGAAGGCCAGGCCAGCGGATCCCCTCTTCTGTCGACAATACCTCAATGGCTGCCGCGAGAATACGGGTCACTCCAAGACCATAGCAGCCCATCTCTGCAATACAAGGCTTGTTCTGGGCACTGCTGAAGGTGGCATTGAATATATTAGAGTACTTTTTACCCAGGTAAAAGGTGTGGCCAACCTCTACACCCTTTGATTCTTCCAGCTTGCCAGTTTTGCAGTTAGGGCAGTCACTTGTTTCTTGTGACAGGGTCTCTACATTAGCAGAGAAAGAGCAGTTCCCACAGACCAGAATCCGGTCCTCACCGATGTCTGCTGGCAGCTGGAACTCGTGGGAGAGTTTACCACCAATGTTGCCCGTGTCCGCCTGCACCTGAACGCAGCGCAGACCGAGCCGGGCGAAGAGCCTGGTGTATGCCTGGCACACAGATTCATAGGTCTCGAAAGCTGCTTCTTCACTCACATCAAATGAGTACATGTCCTTCATGTAGAACTCCCGCCCTCGAAGCAGACCAAACTTAGGCTTTGGTTCATCTCTGAATTTACGGGTGATCTAAAAAAAAGAAAGAGGTAAGGTCAAATTGTAGTTTTATCAACCAATATACTGGTGCCAACAGGAATAAATGGTACCTGATAAAGGAGCAGAGGGAGCTGTCTGTAGGAGAGAGTCGCCTGGTGAGCCACCAGAGTGGTCACTGCCTCCTCGTGTGTGGGGCCCAGGCAGTAATCGGCTCCATGGCGGTCTTTCAGACGAAACAGCTCCTTTCCCATCAAGTCCCAGCGCTCACTGGTTTTCCAGAGATCAGCTGAGCACAAACTGGGCATGTCCAGCTTCTGCCCACCGATCCCCTGCATCTCTTGGTCAATAACTCTCACCTGTTGATTTAAGACAACAGTTACTGCATGTTCGGGGGGAATCTACACTTATATATTCCTCCACAATATTGCCACCCTAATACACTTTGCTGTAATCTTTCCTTTTTCTGTAATAACGTTTTTAAAAATGCATGATCTACTCAGGTCTTAATGCCTTAATGTCTTAATTGACTGTCAGACAGATTGTGCAACCTATAATCAAGAATCGGATTACAATAAACATTTTTATTTTAGTTTGATACCCTTAGATCCCTAAAGTGGTTGCTGGGCTTTGCGATTAATAAAAGAAAAGCAATCTATAAAATGATGAGAGGAATAACATTAAAGAGCAGAATACCAGGTAAATAAATGAACCAATTAAAAAAATTAAAAGGTGATCCAAAGGTGAATCTAAATATGAATACAAATAAAAGTTATACAGTAACAACAATATACATCTGTGTGATTCAGTATGCTTTGAACTAGTGTATATTCTTATTATAGCAGGACGTAATCGACATTTCCTGTTCTTGTTTTCGAGCATGACACAACCAGATTTACCATGCCCACTTTACATGTATCATTTGTTTTAAGAAAAACAAGTCTCACCAGCTTCTCCATGGAGCGGACGGTAGCAGGGAGGTAGTAGTAACAACCGGGGTTGGACTGATAGATGAGCCCGGCCTGCTGCATGAGCCTTTGACTCTTACACGTCATCTCCCCTTGCAGTCCCATGTCACGCAGGTTTGCGGGCTGGTAGAGGCGCGACACCAGGAGCGTGGGTTTGTTTTTTCTGGAGTTGGTGGTGGCGGGAACAGCAGCTTGTTCAGCACATCCTGAATGTTTCCTCCGGGGTAGTACTGCGGCTCTGTGGAGGCGCTGGAAGACTCTTGAGCGAATCTGATTCATTATGGGCTCCATGATAAATGCAGACCTACTGAATAAGACAAATCAGTTGGAAAATAAATTAGTAAATTAGATAAAGGAGTAATGAGCATTATTGTGATCAGGATTTATTGTGTTATTTTACCAGGGAAAGTTGTCTGTTTGTTTGTACAAACAGACATTTGAGAAAAAGTCTTGTTCTTATAGATATTGTAATAGTAATTTCCTTATTTCTGGCATTTAATTTGTTTTACAATAAACAGATTAATCCTAAAAAAATAATAAACAGATGAGTCCTTATTGAAAATGATGTGTGTTGAAGTACATGAGTACATTCATTTAAGTGCTATAGATATACAATCCAGACAGTCAACTAAACTTTTCATTGTATTCTACTTTAGCATTTAATTTGAGAGGCATTCATACATTGGTACTTTAACCGGTATGTAGTTTTGTACCGTTTTTGATTAAGTAACACATAAGTATGATTCTTATCACCTTAACTAATAACAAGTTTACATTTACTAAAATGTATACTTAAGGAAAGGATCTGAGTTCAGTGATGTACTGAACTTCAGTACAATTTCCATGTACTTTATTTACTGAGTATTTCTAGTTCATGCAGCCTTTTATTTACTTACTTCTACATTTCATCTTTAGTTACTTACAGGTTCAGATTAGTAATACACATTCTAATCATTAAATACGTTTACATGTATAACTACAATGATGTATTATTATGAATATAAATAACACTTAATTGTTCTCTTCGGTATTTCAACACAGTGGTATTGCTACTTTTGCTTAACTCTGGCAGTAACTAGGTACAATTATGCATGCGCGTAACATGACAGTTGAATTCAAGGTCGTCAACTTCTCTACAGATGATTATTTCATTCTTTTTACTAAGCCACAGGCATATAACGTAAATGCAGATGCTTGTTGTGAATGCTGATGCCACTGACCCATGTCCTAAGTGTGCACAGCAGACAGGGTACAGTCCTGACCTGCTCTGACGCTCTTTGGCTAGCTTTTATCATTAGCCTCCACATTTAGCACATAACGACGGAGTCACAAATAAACAAGACTTACCTTTGGATCAACAACCCATGTATGATTGTTCTTTATATACTACGAGAGAAAATAAGCAAAGAGTTTAATTTCTATGAAGTTGACAGACTACAAAATACTGAAGGTCCCTTCACCATGCTGTCTTCTTCACTACTCCCCCGGAGGCTCGTCGCCTCGATGTACCATCGCCCCCTGCAGGCCGGGAGGAGCACCGACGGTTCAGTGGTTGGGATCTTTATATACAGTCTATGGTTGGGATCCAGTAGAATATAATTTGTATCCCTCTAGTTCAGGGGTCTCCAACCTTTCTTCATCTGAGAGCTACTTTGAAAAAATGTAAGTGGCCAAGAGCTACTTGCATCACATCGCTTACTTACTTGTGTACACGTGTGAAATTGCATTACGCAAAGCTTGTCAAAAATCTTTACTTCACATCAAGGTCCAAGAAAACGACAATTTCTCACATATTATTGTGGCCCACATAGTAAGTACATCACTGAAAATTCACATAAATGTTCACTTCTTATTATGGCCCACATCATCTTAATCACCACCTTACAAGCATTTTATGGCACGTGTAAAATAAGTGGCATTCACTCTTTTTTACAGTTAGTGAGATGACTGGCACTGCATGGAGTCCACTAAATGTATGCTGGAGTGTACCCACTTAGGTTCACTCTAATATAGTCATTTAAATATTTATCAGTCAGTCATGTTCTGTATTTAGATTTCATGATATTCATGTCAGAAAAAGCTGCTTCACAAAGGTATGTAGAGCCAAATAAAGCAGAAATGTTCAGTGCTGCTTGGTGATGTTCTTAGTTTTCTGGGTCTACAAGGCTCCAGAAATGTTGTGAGTTTTGCTGAGACTTAAGCTGAACATGATTTTAGAGATTTATAACCTCCATCTCCATCTCCACAGGATTGACACTGAACAGTTCAGCCATCTTCTTCTTTTTCTTCGTCTTGACATGAAATTATAAACCATAATAAATCAATTGTATAGGTCTAGCCTCCCTATATCTGTGTGAAATTGTTCCATCCCCAAAAACAAAAAACTAATGCAGTCTTGCTGCATTTTCTAGCAATGGTCTTCTGTTAAAAAAAGGACACTGAAGGTCCTGAATGTGGCCTCACAAACATGACTTGAGTCTAAACCTATATGGTCTGAACACACCAGCATACTTGCACCATCCTTGATGGAGCATATGTGTGGGCTGGACCTGTATTTTTCAGGAAAGGAGTGAGCAGAGGGTCGTGTTGTCGATTCTTGTTCAGTTTTCTGTGACTATCTTCCTCACCCTCTCAGACTTTGAGTTGCGCGCGCTGCAAAAGAGATGCGCTACCATGGAAACCAAACAATGGTGTAGCTGTATTAAAGTCCGAGTGGAAACAGTCCTGAGTAAATCTGATGTTGTCAGAAATCGGGAGAAATATGACCCCGGGAGGAAACCGGGAGAGGGCAATGAAATCGGGAGTCTCCCGCGAAAATCGGGAGGGTTGGCAAGTATGCACACCAGACAACAGCATATAAGAACAAAAATAGTGCATGTGGGTGCACACGTATTCTCTGTTTTAGTGTTACATAAATCCCATGAATGTATGAGATTAAGTTAGCTTTATCATCTCAATCAGTGATTAAGTGAATAATAACGTTTCTATCAGGTTACTAGCAGCCTGTCACTCATTATTTTTAGGGAGGGGGCGGGGTTTGGAGGAACAGAGGAGACGGTGATCGCGGAAGCTTTTTTCCTCCTGCCTTCACAAACTTTACACAAGTATTTATCAACTGAAAATAGCAAGAGGACATTCATACTCTGCAATCCAAGACGTGATTAAATCCACCAAAAACCTGACATGGTGCTAACGCGAGTAATTTTTAAAACATAAATCCATGTGTGTCTGAGCCGCAGCGACACGGACTGATTCAGGTGCATTTATTGTCGTCGGATTTTTTCTACAGTCTGTGAACCGCGAGCGACGTGCTACTGAAAAGCTGTAGCTCGCGATCGACGTGTTGGAGACCCCTGCTCTAGTTGGACACAGTTTGTCGTGCGTTGCCTTTTCAGTTATTTCGTTTTTGTTTGTTTTCTGTTCTGTTTCTTTTTGGAATGTCTGTATGACGTTGCTTTTGTCGGGACCCCCTTGAAAACGAGATTGTGCAACTCAAGGGGTTTATCCTAATAAATACATTTCTTAAACCTACCGGCAAAAAAAGCCTTGGATCTGTTCTAAAAGGAAGGCTTTTTCTGGAATGTTTCTCCTTCTCTTCCTGCCAGTGGCGGCGCCAGGGTATGGCTGGGGTAGGCTACAGCCATCCCAAGAAATGGCTTAGCCCCACCATGAAAAATGATGTTAGTAAGCAAAATAAAGTCCGCCAACTCGCGCGGAGTAAATTGCACAGACAGCAGTTAGTAAGATTGATTTCAGTAGCCACTTCTGGTCTGGAAATACCGAAGACTAGAAACGTTTTTGAAAACGTTTGTCACGTAGTGATCGTCTTCTCAATAGAACATCTTTGATAATGTCTTCTGGCCAATCAGAATCAAGATAACGGCGTTGCAGGTGTTGTTGCAGGAAATCCCGAGGGAGAATACTTTTGCTGTAGTACATCTCTATATACATCGATACAACATTACGTAATGAAATAATAACCCACGGTTTGATGATTGATAGATGTGTGGGCTGTCTTTCATTTTGACACACAGAACAATGGGGGCTATCCACCCTTATCCACAATGTAAAGTAATTCACACAGCCTCTTCTCTCTGTGAGGAGCAGCAGGTTCAGCTTTCAGAACAAAGTAACACAAAACTAAAATGGCATTCATTTTGTCGTGTAGTAATATATTTATTTATTTTGCTTCTCAAGAGAGTACCAGAATGTGTATTTTATGTTTGTATTTCAAAAAATCTCCTGGGGGAGAATCAATCAATCAATCAATGTTTATTTATATAGCCCAATATCACAAATGTTACATTTGTCTCAGTGGACTTTACAGTTTGTACAAAATATCAGTATGACAATACGACACCCTCTGTCCTTAGACCCTCACATCGTACAAGGAAAAACTTCCGGAGAAAACCCACAGTTTAAAGGGAAAAATGGGAGAAACCTCAGGGAGAGCAACAGAGGAGGGATCCCTCTCCCAGGACGGACAGACGTGCAATAGATGCCGTGTGTAAATTGAAAAGATAATACATTTGCAACATAGGTAGTCCAAATGTTTGGAAATGCATGTGTGTATAATAGTAAGATGAATCCACGAGGATATCCATCCAGGACCTATGATCCAGGACCACAGCCACGACTCAAGATCCAGGGCTCGCGATCCAGGACAGAGGAGCGCAGGATCATCCATGACTCCGGATCCCGGCGTATATAGACACCAAAAAGAAAGACATTTGGGGAAGCTGGGTTAATCGGAACATGAGAGTACACAGGTATAGACAGAGAGAAGGAAGAAGTAAGATGTCCCCCGACAAACTAAGCCTATATCAGCAAAACTAGGGGCTGGATCTAATCAGCCCTAACTATAAGCTTTATCAAAAAGGAAGGTCTTAAGCGCACTCTTAAAAACGGATAGGGTGTCTGCCGCCCAAACACAAACTGGAAGCTGATTCCACAAATGTGGAGCTTGATAAGAAAAGGCTCTGGCTCCCATTGTACTTTTAGAGACTCTAGGAACAACCAACAACCCTGCATTCTTGGAACGCAATGCCCTAGTAGGACAGTAGGGTATAATGAGTTCTTTAAGGTAAGATGGCGCCTGCCCATTAAGGGCTTTGTAGGCGAGAAGAAGAATTTTAAATTCTATCCTGTGTTCTATAGGGAGCCAGTGTAAGGCAGCCAGAACAGGAGTAATGTGGTCCCTTTTCCTAACTCTGGTTAGTACACGAGCCGCAGCATTTTGAATCAGCTGAAGCGACTTGACTGACTTCTTGGTACACCCTGATAATAAAGAGTTACAATAATCCAGCCTTGAAGTAACAAATGCATGGACTAGTTTCTCTGCATCGTTTTGAGCCAAGATATGCCTGATTTTTGCAATGTTACGTAGATGGAAGTAGGCGGTCCTTGAAATTGATTTTATGTGGGCGTTAAAGGATAAATCCTGATCAAATATAACACCAAGATTCCTTACAGTCTCACTGGAGGCCAAATTAATGCCATCCATAGTTAGTATATCCTTAGATAATTTGTTTCGTAGATTCTTCGGGCCAAGTACAATAACTTCAGTTTTGGTCGTGTTTAACATCAAAAAGTTTAAGGTCATCCACGTTTTTAAGTCCTTAAGGCAGTCTTGAATTTTATTTAGATGATTAATTTCATCAGGCTTGATTGATAAATATAGTTGAGTATCATCCGCATAACAATGAAAGTTTACAGAATGATTCCTTATAATATTGCCTAACGGAAGCATATATAATGTGAACAAAATAGGTCCGAGCACTGAGCCCTGTGGCACTCCATGGCTAACTTTGGTTTGCGTGGAAGATTCATCATTGACACGTACAAACTGAGAGCGTTCAGATAGGACCTAAACCAGTCTAAAGCAGTTCCCTGTATGCCAACTAAGTGCTCTAGTCTTTGCAATAAGATATCATGGTCGATAGTATCAAATGCAGCACTGAGATCGAGCAAAACAAGAATAGAGACACGTCCCTTGTCAGAGGCTATTAGAATGTCATTTGTGACTTTAACCAGAGCTGTCTCTGTGCTATGATGTGTTCTAAAGCCAGACTGAAAAGCTTCAAATAAATCATTGTTTTTTAAGTAATCACACAACTGTTTTGCGACCGCTTTCTCAAGAATTTTTGAGAGGAACGGAAGATTGGAAATAGGTCTATAATTGGCTAAAACCTCTGGATCGAGGTTGTGCTTTTTAAGAAGCGGTTTTATCACTGCTACTTTGAATGATTGTGGAACATAGCCTGATAATAAAGACATATTCATAATATTTAATAAATAAGTGCTAATTAATGGAAAAACTTCCTTCAACAGCTTAGTTGGAATTGGGTCTAACATGCACGTTGATGGTTTAGAAGAGAGAATCATTGAATTTAATTGTTCAAGGTTTATGGCTGAAAAGCATTCTAGTTTACTATCTAGTGTAATATTAGAACTTACGTTTCCGGGAGCTGTTGATAACACTATACTGGT